CTCTCGCAGTCCGCCGGCGACTCTTCAATGAGAACGACGGCTGCGTGGCTGCCGCGGCGTCCTCGCACGGGTGTCACGTTTCCGTCGACGGAAATAAATGCGAGCGAGTGCGTGCACGTCGCGCCCCTTGCCCTGCTCCGTCCCGCCGTATAATACCGCGCGGTCCCCCCCGTTCGGGAGTGAAATTTTCCTGTCCCCCGTGGACCTTTGTCGCGGCTCGTAACCGTGTGCTGGTCGCGTCGGCCGCGCCGAAGATATCCGTCTTCCTCGATCGCCGACCGGATCGCCGCAGGACTCGCCGCCGAGGAGAGCATCCGGACTGGTGGCCGGAGCCGTTCGCAGCACGCCCCGGTACGCGCGATCGCCGTGTCTCGACGCGCGAGCGTTCGAGCGGGCCCCGGAGGGCCCCGTGTTGTCGGGGCCGCTGCGATTGATCTGCAGTCGACTCGCAGCCTTTGTGGACCGTGCGATTACGCTTCTGGATCAAGTGTGCACACACGGCCGGGCCGTTAGTGGAGATTAGTGCGGCCGAGAAGCGCGCGGCGCGCCGGCCGGGAAAGTTTGCCGAGTGCCTAATCAAGATTTAGGGCGGCCGCGGAAGGAAGTCGATGATGTCGTTAGGGCGGCCGGGCCGCGGTGGGAGCCAGGGATCCGCGTTTCCCGTTCGCAGGCTCGCGGAATGGAATTAATAAAAGGCCTCCTCCTGCCGCGTCCCCGGCGTCGGCTCGGGGGACGCGCCGCTCCGAGGCGTCGTAAAACATTCCGACCTCGCGGCCCGCGTCGGATCGCAGACGCTCTGAAATATTCCTCGGCGGCCAGAGACACGCCGGTCACAACGACGCCGCCGCCGCGCCGGTTCAATCTAAATTTAAAGCGCGCGCCCGAGCCGCGTCTCGCGAACCGTTCGAAGCTGATTTACCTGGCTTCGCCGGGCGGCTGCCGCGGCGAGTTTAATAAAGGGCTCTCGTCGGGGCTTGCCGGAGAGGGCTGCGGAGTGGTTCGCGAGGAATCTAACTTCCTCGGGACTTTTAATCTCGTGATCCGTCGGTCCGTATCAGTCTCGAGGACGGGGGATACGTACGCTCGTTCGCGCGTGTGTTGCGCGTTTTCGCGCAACCCTCCTCGTCCAAGCCGCCACGGCTCGGCCGCTGCCTTTGCCTTTGCCTTCGCCTTCGCCTTCGCCCTAGCCTTCGCCCTTGCCTTTACCCGCCGAGGGCGGCGTACGCGCGCGCCTAATTAAATCATTTCCGCCGAGCTTTCATCGCAGACGTCTGCGGCCCCCGCAGAGCTCGTCGCGCGAAAAAGGCGAGCAAGACTGTGATCTCTCGAAACGTCTGTCTCCGCCTTTCCGTGCCGGAATCGCGGCTGCTCGCTGTCCTAGCGACATCGTCTAGGGCTAATCCTCGTTTCAAACGAGGTCCGGCTCCTTCCTCGCCGCGCGTTCGATCCGATCTCGCGGAATCATCGGCGATGATTTGTTTCATCCGTGATCCTGCCGGGCGCGATTGTCTTTGATACGTTATTTTGATGTAAAAGGATCGTTTCCCGGTCATCTGGGTTCGTTACTCGATGCTTTGGACAGGTATTTGGCAGCTGGATTAGGCGCGATTGCAAGAAGCGGCGCCGCGGATTGTTCGTTCTGGAACAGTCGTTGTTTCCGAGACAATTCGCTGGTTATCGTTAGCGTAGAAATTAGATGACGCCGATACCGCGACCTATTTCGACACACTGATAGCCTAAGTAGGTCCCGACGCGACCTGAATCAGCCCTCGATCCCCGGAAAGTCGATTAGTTTTATCTCCGCGGCTGGTAGTCTCGCGCCGATAATTCCGAGAACCGCGTTTCTTGCGACCGCGCGGCGTCCATTCCGAGTTCATTTCGTTTTATCTCGACGAACGCGTCAACAAATCTGTTTCGTCTGGGTCATGGGGAGGAGGAGAGGGGGGAGGGCCTCGAACGTGAACCGGAACGTTCGGAGCACGAATTACGGCAGTCTGTGTTCGCGTCTCCGTGCTAAATCGCTCGGCAACGCCGAAACCGCGATTCTTTGGACGCCATTCGACGCCAATGTGTCGCTGAAAACAGCTCTCCGCCGAAAGGGCCGCGAACGCAGCACCGAACTTTCGAAATATTAATTGGCCCCGGCTCTCCTCGTTTCTCTGTCGCTCCGAACGGCCGACGAATTCCGGGGCGCGACGCTCGACGCCGCGAACGACGAGCGTTTCGAAGCTAATCCCGTCGCCTCCGCCAAGGGACGTCCTGTTCGACGAGCCGGTTAACATTTTCGCAATTTTCGCGGCCGGCGGAGGACGGCTTTTAACGATTCCTTTTCGCGAGCGACGCGCGCAAATAACCGCGAAAGAAGCAGCTCAAACGAAATTTCTCAGTGGATTTCGGCGCGGCGCGTCGCGACGGGACTCGATTAAAACGAGCGGGGCTCGTGCTACCGCGCGCAGAGACGGAAACTCCGGCTTCTTTCCTGCCGAAAATTTCTCGCTCTTCAGGTCTCGACGAGCTCTCCCGAGAGGGAGGCTACACGGTGAACATGTAGTACAGAGGGTGACTCGAAACGCGGTGTTATCGGATTTGCCGGGGGGAGAGGGAATCCGCGAGATATTCGCCGAACGAGAGGACGAGAGAGAGAGAGAGAGAGAGAGAGAGAGAGAGAGAGGAAGAGAGGGAGAGAGAGAAGAAGAGAGGGAGAGAGAGAGAGGGTGCGTTCGCAGTGAAGTGACTGAGGGGCGGAGGAGGTTTTTCAAGTTTCTGCTTCAAAGTAAGTGGTTCGCGGCCGGTGCGCCGCTCCGCCGTTTGATAAAGATAGGGGTATCGGAGCATTCGGCAAACAGAAATTCGTGAAAGAAGCTATTGAGGAAAAAGCGTCCGGCATGGTTGCGGGAGGGCGGGGAGGGCGCGGGCGGGCGGGCGCAGCACGTTCCCGTGAATCGAAAGGCTGATTCCGCTCGGTTCAAATGGCAGAGCTCGGTCGTTATATGCGTTCCCTCGCGCGGAAGTGATTGGAGGCGACAAATGAGGCGCCAAACTTCCACGTCTCGCCGCCCACGCACGCCCGCTGCGAAACCGGCTGCCTGTTTTTCTTGCGAATTTCAACGAAATTCGTGCGCCGCCGATGCCGCGAAAGAACAACAGCCACGCGATACCTCGCGATCCCTTCGGAAAACAATAAAGTTTTCAAACGCGACTAGGGTCGCCTGTTGTTCGCGAGAAGTTTCGGAAGCGTGGTGCCTATTCTGCGCGCGAATTCTCGCCGGTGTGCAATCGCCAGTCGCGTCGGGGAGGCGATTTGTTGACGGCATTTGCTAATTACGCGGGCTAATCCTTTCGCGTCGAGGAAGTTCGTGGCGCATCGATGACCCGCTACGAGATCGCTCGCGTTCTTACGACGAGTCGTTGTAAAATAGTATCGATAATCGATCGCACGATTGTTTACGAATCGCTTGTCGGGATGATGGGAGAATTTCTGGAAATTTGGGGGCCAACTTCGGCACCGTTCAACAGACTGCGCCGTATTTTCAACGTGGAATAGTTGTTTGTTTGTAGAATGTTTAGATTGTTTAAAATGTTCGTGAAAACAACCTTGCCGTATTTTGACGAGAGCACGACTCGACGGGAAAATTTCTAGAAATAACTTATCGAGGATAGACGTTGTTCTGTGCTTTAATTCGTTGGGTGCCGCGTCGGTCACATATGGGTGACACTAATTTTGCGCGAATTTTAAACATTCATTTTCATTGCGATACATTCGAACGAACTGAATCTCGCCAATTTCGGATGCGAAAGAGTTTTAATTTCAATCATCCGATATGATCAATTAAACTTTTTAGCTTCGGTTCAATTAATTCAATTGCATTGAGTTTATAGCGATTTTCAGTGGTTGATTGTCGACGCTGGATGTGTTAAAAATTGGAATCAAATTCTAATCTGTTGTCATTAACACTTCCACGACCGCGCTAAAAACCTCGAAAATTTTCATAAAATTAATATATTTCATTCAATGAAACAAAAATTACGAAGCAAACTTATATGGCATCAATTACTTCTTCAGCATTCGTACTTATTGCAAATCTTAATAAAATTAAGCAGTTATTTTTAATTTTTCATTAATCATCCATTCGGTCATCAAGCGACTCAATTTAAAACGGGGAGATTTCCCCATTTGGCTGGCTAAGTGTTAATATTTAAGATTTAACTTTCTAGCTTCGATTGAGTTAATTAAATTGCTTTGTCTTTGTGGGAATTTGAAGTGATCGCTCGTCGGCGCTGGACGTGTTAAAAATTGAAATCAAATTCTAATCTCTTGTCATCAATATTTAAGCATTCAAGTAGAGGGCACACGATGAGCATCGATTTTCTTTCCCTTCTGAGAAATCGTTGCAATCGAAAAATATCTAATCGTACTTTATATATAATATCGGGTTGGCAACTAAGTAATTGCCGATTTGTTCGATGAAATAAAAATTTTTTTTTACTTGGAATAACGTTTAATCTGTAATGTATTTTCCATTTTGTTCGATGACCTTTTGCCATCTCTCTGACAACTTGAGAATTCCACGCTCGTAGAAAGTCTGATCCTTTTCGGCTAAAACTGAGTTAAGTGACATTTTACAGCGTCATCATCATTAAAAGTTTTGCCACGAAGGGAGTTGTCCAGGGATCGAAATAAGTGGTAATCCGATTGCGCGAGATCAGGGCTATATGGTGGGTGTAACATCAATTCCCAACCAATATCCATCAGTTTTTGCCGAGTGGACAAAGACGTGTGCGATCTAGCATTGTCCTGCTGGAAAATGACACCTTTACGATCGACCAATTCTGGTCGCTTTTCCTTGACCGCTGCATTCAATTTGTCCAGTTGCTAACATTCACGGATAATAAAAAATAACATAATAATAATAATAATAATTTTATAATATAACATTTACGGATATCAAAAAAATGGGAGTGAGAGACATCTATAACTGAAACCGGCGATTACTTAGTTGCCAACCCAATATAATATAATTCCTAATCATAAGAAAATAATTCGCGAACGCATTTAGATGTTCCGGTGTTTCGAAACGCTATTTATTAGCCGCCAGTGAAAAAAGAATAAGCATACTGGTACGTCGCAGAACGATCGTTAACCGGTAATCGTACGAAGGAATCGACGAATCTCGAATTTCATCGACTGCGAAATCGTTAAGGGACTCGATCGGCCGTTGTTCGCGACGGAACTTTTCGGTAGCGTCGAGTCGTCCTGTCAGAGGAATGCATTAGCGTCGCATGCGTCGCGCACGTCTCGTGCCCGCTGGTGCATGCCGGCGCATACATTATTAAAAAACGCGAAAGGGAGGATGCACTCAAAATGCAGTACGCGCGGGAACGTTGCACCGTGCAGCGTGCACCGGTGGCCTGACACAGCTCCGGGTCCGGTAAATCCTGACGACGCGCGTCGCCTCGCGTCGCTTCGAGTTTCCCGGCCGTGTCCACGGCGATCCGGCCCACCGTATCCGATAGAGATTGTTGCGATACCCTTCTACGTTTGGGGTGCAAATAATGCGTATAAATATTTACGCCCCTGCGGGGCCGCGGCGAGCTCTGTCGATATTCCTTTGACGCTGTCTACGACGAGAAACATCGACACGTTTCTTTAAATCACGGATTCACCACTCTCTCTCTCTCTCTTCCTCTCTCTCTCTCTCTCTGTCTCTCTTTCTCTCTCGCTCGTTCCACTCTTTTTCGCTTAAACTAGCAGAGGGTTCGATACACGTGTGCCTCAAATACTGACCGCGGTACGACCGTTGTCACTTTTCTCGGTTCCCGGCCAACCTTTTAATAGGTTCTACTTGAGGCACGGACCGCAGAGCTTTTTTAAAAAACGACCCCACGTTATGAAAAATTCAAGGGAAATTCTTCGGTGTTTCAGTTCGAAGAGAACTCTTCCAGGAGATAAAAATTTGCTCGCGTCCGGTATCTTGTTTATCGATACGGAACATTTTTCTCTTCGTCGTCGCGGCGACAAATATCATCGTAAATGTCATAAAACGAGTAGCATTGTAACGACGATATGAAATAACTATCGCCGCGGAAATCGATGACCCGTAGATGGTACTTATCTGTAATATTTAACCCGTTGAGTTCGACGTGTTTGATACGTGATTTCCAGAAATAACCTTTTAAGAATTAAATAACTGCATATATTATTTCCTGTAGGCTTACTCTAAGACCGTGAAAAAATTATTATTCAGAAACAGTGCAGCACGTTGCGGTATGCTTTGAACATTCGTCTGGTTAAACTTTTACTACAGAATTGTCTTCGAAAGCTTCTAGATTTATGGTTCTGTCCTTTATCCGAATATCTTCTATTTTTTGATTGTTCGAACTCACTGGAACCTTTCTGGAACTTTTCTGCAACTTTTCTGGAACTTTTATGCAATAACTTTTTTCTAACTGTAACTAAATGACTTGAATTTTTATTTGTTAGGTGATAGAGGGATTAATCCACGGGACAATAACTGAAATGTATTTTTTAAATTTTGCTGTTGCTTGGAATAACAAGAAAAGGTAAAAAATGTTTCGTTCTTTAACTTTCTTATCCGAGCTTATAACAAATATTTAGAAAGCGCTTTTCCAAGATCTCGGTAACTCGCGTGCATGCTGAAAATTTTATCGAAATTTAACCCAGTTTTTTAATCCAGACTCAAGCTGCAGGCGTTGAAAGATTGAAAAAACTGCAGATTTCTCGTAGCTTTTGGTCGAAAGTGTAAAAAATCGGGACAAAATTGCGATTTTAGCAATCTTGAATTATTTGTGACTCGTAACAACGTCAACCAATTTCGCTAAAATTTTCAGTATAAAAGTCACCGAAATATGCAAAAGGCATTTCTTTAATTTTTCTTACAAACTCACAAGCTCTAAAAAGTTAAAAAACGAGAGTTTCCGTTACTTTTATCGTCATTTCAAGAGCAAAATGAAGAAAGAGCATTTCAGTTATTGTCCCACTATCATCTAAAAACCAAAATTGCTATTTTAGCGATCTTTAATTATTTGTGACACGTAACAACGTCAACAAATTTCGCTAAAATTTTCAGTCTGCATAAAAGTCACCGAGATATACGAAAGGCATTTCTTTAATTTTTCTTACAGGCTCAGACAAAAAAGTCAAAAAAAATCGAGAGTTGTTGTTACTTCTATCGTCATTTCAAGTGAGAGCAAAATAAAGAAAAAGCATTTCAGTTATTGCCTCGTGGATTAGTTATATATATATCTCTATTATTAGTTATATATATAATATATTATAATATATATATATTAGTTATATATAATATATATAATATATCTATATTATTAGTTATATATAACTATCATTTAAAAAACAAAATTGAGTCATTTAGTTCAGTTTCAGAGAAGTTTACTGCTTCTTAAACGGTGTTCGAATACTCACTCTACGTCGGAACAGTTCATCGAGGAAACGTGCGATCAGAACGGCGAAGATTCGTTGCAATCATTTTTTTTTTACCTCGCACCGTAGACCCGCGAATGCAGTCCTCGACGATCCCTCGATGCGATTCTCGGCGAAACAGGATCATTCGGTCGCGAAATCGGTCGATGCTTCGTGCCTGGAACACAATCGACGACTGCTGCTATAAAACCGTGACGCGGGTACTTCGGTATAAAATCGGGGGGCGGGGAGGAAGGGCATGGGATTGGGCGTGGTACGTACTTCGCTTGGGATTTTATGACTTCATTAAGGCGTCGTTACGAGGTGATACCGGACGCCGAACAAAGTGAGGGAACGGCGCCGCGATAAACCGACCGCCGATTTATGAATATACCGCGGGAGAGCCTTAACGGCGCGCGGCGCGGCGGCTGCTAATCATTTCCACGATGGCCGGCGTATCAGTCGCGATTAACCGGCGAATTCGAGGAGCCGGGATAATGACAAGGGGGAGGGCCCGGGCGGCGGTTTCGCCGGTTCCCGCCGCGACGACGACTCATTTGCGACGCGTCCGAAACGGAAGAAAACCGGGAAGAACGGGAACGGTTCGCCGGCTCTCTCCCGGCCCGTGGCCGCGCATTAGACTTCCTGGATTACGCGGTGTATAGCTGTATCTCGGCCCGCTCGAAATTATTTCTGCTGGATTTTGTACCGCGGGGAGATAATTGCGGGCTCGGTCGTCCGCGGGAATCTGCGATTTCGGGTCGCCACGGTTGATTACCGGGCGAACCAAAATAAAACACGAAACGGTAGAACGAGGCGGCGGAATTTTAGGGCACGCGGGCATTAATTAACCCGTTGCGCCCGCGCGACGAGTCCGCGGCACTGCTCGAGATTGTTGTACGACGTTCTGAAGTAATGTTTAAATCAGGGGTGTCAAACTCGGAAGCTAACTTGGGCCAAATAAACAATGCTTAACTTTAGGTGGGCCGCGAAAAGAAGAATCAATGTTCATAGAAAGAAATATTTTTATTTTGACTAGTACATTGTAATAAACACATATATGAAGTTAAATTATTGTTTACGTCCTGATACTTGACATCTCTTCTCTGATACTATCTTTCGTATTTCGGGAGAAATTTTATTGGCCGAGACTATTTCTATTTTATTTTTAATTCGCGTCGGATATATTGACTGGGTCGCAAAAATGCTCATCTCGGGCCGCGAGTTTGATACCCCTGGTTTAAATTGTCAAGTTTGTCTATTTCGAACACGTGGCGCGTGTACCACCACGTGTTTATCGCTAGATTTAGGGAGCACGAGAGAAACGGCTGTTTTATATTGATTTATAAAAGTAACAGCGAGACGTACAGTGGCCCGCAAAAGTGTTCGTACGCCTTTTAAAACCGAGCTAAACTAAATAACTTTTTGAACACTGAACTAAATGACTTGAATTCTTTTCTAGATGTCAGAGGAACTAGTTTACTAGACGATCGGTAAAAAGGCTTCTTTTTTTAAATTTAGCTATTGCTTGGAACGAAAAGAATAGATTAGGAAGCCTCGTTTTTTAACTTTTTTTATCAGAGCCCATAACGAAAATTTAGGAAGTGCCTTTCGCAAATCTCGGTGATGTATGTGCTGGAGATATTAACCCAGAGTCGAGCTACATAATAAAAGTTTGTTTCATTGTTATCTATACAATAATTTTTTGTCATAGCGTCGCTTGGCGATGATGGAGAGTCGAGTGAAAAAATCTCAGCACGGAACGCGTTAAACAACTGTTAAATGTATAACTGTAATACGAAATAGGCTCAATTTCGTACGCATAAATTACACTGATAAGTCACGGAAACATATGAGAAAATAAATATACAATATTATATAATATTATTTATATATATTATATATATTATATATGTTATATATATAATATATTATTATTTATATTATATTATTTATTAATAATAATAAATATATATGAGAAACGGAAATACCATAAGTCATCGGAAACTATTTTGAATTCAGAGTTAAAACGGCATCGAGACCAAAGGGTTAATAATCATAGTATTAATTAATTTTTCCACGGCGTTTGGTCCTCGCGTTATTTCATATTTCCGATGCAAATGTTGCGTTAACGTTTCACGCGGTCCAACGAAAAAATCTCCCAAGAATTCCCGTTGGAGCGTCGTGCTCAATAAACGGTTAAAAACTCGCGCGCCCATCGATCTTACCAAAATCGGGGACCACGCGTCCGAATTTCAGCGGGGGCCGGCTCGCCTGCACGCAAACTTCAATTAGCGGTCGCTGGCAATTAACAATGTACACGGCACTCGTTCACCGGGGCCGAAAATTCGGAGAAGAGGCGAACACACCGCGAATTAACGATTAAACCGATCGAGAGCAGTCCGAGGCCGCCGCGTTTCTTGTTCCCTGTCCCCGATTTATCTCGGCGCGAGCCCGAGCGCCCGGCTATTTTTTATTCGCCGACGGTTTCGTCGAGTTCGCGGGCCGGCTGAAAAATGGCGCGATACCTGATCGTTACACGCCGGCGAGAAATTCCGACGGATGTTCTCGGCTCGCCGAAATCCGGTTCCAGGATTGATCGGGCCGACGCGACGCGACGGGACGGGACGGGACGCGACGAGTGCGTGAAGCCGGTCCGCGCGAGATCGAGACGTCGATTAGTCCCGTGACAAATGGCGCCGCCGATCCATCGGCTGCGGTAAAACCCGCGAAATCTTCGTTTCAATGAACGTTTTTCTGCCGGCGCGCGGCGAAACCACCCCTTCGGCGTTTCACTCCGCCGGCGATTGGTCTCTGTAATTTCTTCTTGCGCTTTGTTTGCGCTGCTCGCTGGACGACGCGCGAATTTTTTCCTGCCACTTTTTAACAGTTTAGGAATGCGAGGATTTCCGTAGAAATTGACTGCGAGTACCACGGACTGCTCGAGTACCGTCAAATATTGTTAAATACTGTCCTTGCACTCGAAGCAGAATTAACGAAAAATTTAAAACGGTTCTCCCGACCCACGGTTTTTCCATTTTTTATGACCCGGTGCACTTCGTGCGTATGAAATCGAATATCGTGATCTGTGCAACAGTTACGCTTTCAACGGCTCTTTAAATATAAGCAAATTCGATTTAAAATCAGAAAAATTACTTTAAGACGCGACGTTACAATTTTTAACGGCGCCTCGGAGTCGCCGATACAGCGCAAAGGGTTAAACGAGCGATCGACGTCCGGGAATATCGAGACGGTATACAGGGTGGACCAGATTAATTTATTCTATGGATGGAGTGGAAATTTTCTCAGCTAAAATAACAGGATTCGAGCAGAGCTTAAAAACGATTGTACGAAACTTTTTATTGAACCTTGTTGCGGTTATTATGTTGGAGTTATCGAGGCTTTTTATAGGGGGACCTACAATTTTTACATTCGGAAAAAAGACTGTACTTGCTTGCCGAATTCGTCTCGGCATCTCCTAAAAGATGGGTACAAAAAAATCGTAGATCAGTCTATAAAACACTGAATGAGATCTCGACAACTGCGGAAAAAGAGGGTCGCCAAAAAATTGGGCGCGAAAGCCATGCTTAGCTCAAAAGCCTCATTAAACCATGTTACTTCGTCACAAAAAGATCTCCAATTCAACCGCCAGCAGCGGAACAAGTAAAGCTGCCCCCCTTAAATCTTGTCCACCCTGTATAGAACTTGCAAAGGAAAGATCCTCGATCAGCTGAATCCGCGCGAAGCATTTGCAAGCTCTCGGTAAAAAAAGAAAAGAAGAAAAAGAGGAAAGTCGGATCACGCGATTCTACAAAGTTACTTTCGACATTCGTAAAGCTCGAGGCGCATAATAGATTTACCATCCGGCGTGGAGCTTGCTATGCTTGCCGGGTAGGCAAACATTTATGGTTCGACCGGCGCCGTAAACTTCGATCGGCCGGCCACGCCGCGCCATAGCAATTCCGATTAATCCTCCCCCACCAGTTCCCCTGATTTGCATGTCAGCCGTCCGTTCCACTTTCGATATCACGGAATTCTTTGTCGCTCAGGGGCAGCGGTTGGACAACGGGATCACGGCGAAGTCGTCCGAAGAATTCGCGGAATCTTCTGCGAGGCGTGAAGGAGCCGGAGAGCCGAGCGGAGCCGAGCGGCCGCCGAGGGAACGGGGAACAATCGATGCATCGGAAATCGACGGGGCCCGCGTAGATGGTATCTGCTGGGTGGCTTCCGGGAGCCGCGGTTCCCCATCGCGATCGAAGCCGGTCCGGATCCTGTGCGCGATGAGAACCGAGCTGGATGCCGCCGCTGGAACGTTCAATTATCCCGGGCCGAAGTAGACCATGCTCTTGGTCGCCGAGCGTTTATTCGGAAGCCGACGGGACCGACTGAATCGTTGAATCGTTGAATCCTTGAGTCGCTCGAATCATTGAATCGACCGGACGAAGCCGCGCGGTCACGGGGATCGCGCAGCGGAATTGTTGCTAGAGGAGACGACGATGCCGCCGAGGACGATTGATCTAGGTGCTCGCGCGTGTTAGTGACTCGCCAGTGTGATCCAAGTGGGATTAAGTGCATCGCGATGACACTGCGCCGCCTTCCAGCCGACCCTGCCCGCCGCACCACCGCTTCCGCCGGTGAGTAACGTCATTTTCGGTACTTACCTAGACTCCGGGAACCGGCGCATTCTTCTTGCCTCTTAAATCTTCTCTTACAACTTGTCTTCTTTACGCGCGCGCGAGCATTCCTCATCGTCCTGGAAACATTTAACATCGCCTAATATCTTTACGACGCGGAGGATGCGAAGAATGATCTCGGGCGGAGTTGCTTACTCGCGCGAAATACGACGGCGAAACGGTGTTCCCGTTGTTTAATTCTGGAACGGCGGACTTTTCTGATCAAATATTATTGGGAATACATACGTTGTAATCAAAAGTGGACGATTTGGGTTGGCGAGATACGATTATTCGAGCCTTGCATCTCGTTTTTAGAATTGTCGACGATCGACGATTGTCCGTTTTTGTTTACGAGATGAAGGAAAATTGGGGATAATTTACTTGCTGGGGATGGATTTACTTACGTTCATCGTTTATCTTATTATTTATCAATTTTTTTTCGATATATTTGTTACGGTAGTCCTTCTAGATGCGTTAGTTTCTTTACAGATTTTGTCGAAACATGTGAGAATTGAGATTGGTTGTCAGAAATTTGATATTCAGATATCAATTCTTCCAGTCTGGGTCCGACGTTCGAATGTTAACTATAGCGCATTAAATGTGTACGAATTCTGAAGCCACTGTTGCGGCAATTATACTGAGGATTTTATACGTTTATGACAATAATGAGTAGATCGAAGGCAAAATAGCAGGAACGTTTAAGCAATTCGATAACATTATGGTACAACTGTCAACTCATTGAGATGGTTAAAGAATGAAATTCCCACCAATGGCACCCTGGCAAAAAGTATTCATATATCAAAGATAAAAAAACTGCAATTTTAAAATGCAATAACTTTGTTCCCGTAACTAGTCCCTTTAACACCTAAAAAATGTCAATGAAACCAGTTCGAAAAAAGTAATTGCATATTAAAAGGTGGACGAATACATTTTCTGTATCTTGCAATTAACGAATGAAATTCTCACCAATAGCACCCTGGCAAAAAGTATTCATATATTAAAGATAAAAAAAATGTAACTTTAAAATGCAATAACTTTGTTTCCTTAACTAGTCCCTTTAACACCTAAAAAAGGTCAACGAAACCAGTTCGAAAAAAGTAATTGCATATTAAAAGGTGGACAAATACATTTTCTGTATCTTGCAATTAACGACGACGATAATTATTCCGCATAAAAATCCGCAGTCCACTGATAACACGCTGTCATCACGCAATCGTGTTATCCGCGAATCAAAGCTGCACAATTTCTCCACGGTAAAAAATAAGCAGCCCGCTCCGCGTTTCAAAAATTCCGAAGATAATTGTATAATATCTCACCTCGCGTCTTGTATACAAATCCGTGCGTCGTTGCTGCGCTTGTTTTATCGTTCCGAAGCTAGAGGGAAAAAATATCCTGGCTCCGAGATGCGAGAAGAGAGACCCGGCGGCCCGCTATAGTTCTCGGCTGCAGCACTCCTCGGGGAGGTCGCGGAGCAAATTTCTTTCTGCCGCACCGAAAACTCCGCTCCCATATTATGCTACACCGTTTTAAATGCCACGAACGATGAATAATCGTCGCCGAGATCGTTCGTTCGCGCACGTACGGCCGCTCGGCTTGTCGCGCGGGATTTTCCATCTTCGTACTGTTGCACCTAATCGACGGAGTTTTCGTCGCTGGTCCGCGCGAAGTTACCGTTCCATCTAGCCCGAACCTCGTTAGTTCGATTCGAGGAACATTTGCTTGGAGAGTCGAGCGGGGCTCGAAACTCGCGGAGTATCGAAAATTACCCGAACTAGCTGCTTGTTTCAATCAGCCGGATATCTGATCGGTGCGCGGAGGACGTCGGGCTCAGTTTTACAACACCGGCGAACTATCAATTTCTCGCCGCGCGTATATAAACCTGTCTCGGGGTGAAATTAAAATGTACAATAGGCAGGCTATACAAGCGGATTTAAAATGCGATTTTTCACCGGGCTTTATTGCCAATTCGTGGGACCATTTAAGCACACGCTATAATAATAAATTTCGAATGCGACGCGATTCCGAATGTGCGAAAAATTCCGGCGACAAACGAGATTTTCGGCGAATTTGCATGGAAATCGGACGGGGCGCTCTCTTCGAACTGTGCGCGGAACGTGTCGCCTGTGTCGGAATAGAAAAATTTCGGGCGCCGTGAGGGAAAAAAAGATGGCTCTGCGGAAATATCGGGCCGACATCGGGTATCGAAAGATCGTTGCAGTCTGATCCCGGGACCGGATCGGTTGAAACCGTTGCTGGATCACATGGCGCGGATTGTCTCTGGCCATGGTTCGACGATCTCTTTTCTGTTTTCCCCGACGCATTTTACTTTGATGGAGCTTAATCCGCTTATACCCGCGGGCTAGAGCCGCGGCCACCGAAAGAGTGCCGGCTGGAAATTTTCAATCAACGGATGGCGAGTCCATTTTCCGGATAGCTTGTATCCCCTTTGTTTTCGGAGCCCGCCACTTCCCGATTGTTCACGGCGACTTTGTGCCGTGCCTCGAATCTCGCCGCCGTTCACCGTAATCTTTGTTTGCCCGGAAACTTTCACGCAATCCTTCCCCCCCCCCCCCGTACACGAAGTTTAGCATCTAATTCCGCAAACCGCGACAAAACCACGGCGAAAACCGAGGCATCGACGCGAAAGCTCGGAGTTAATTCGACGCTCGCATCGAGGCGAAAAATCGTCGCATTTTTACGATCATGAAAATGAATGAATTATCGCATCCTTCGACTCGGTTTACAAGAAAACAAAGGCTTCTTCGACTTATTTTTCCACGTAGATTCAGTCCGTATCTGGTTGTAGCATCGATTACAGGATGCTCTGAATAAAAGTTGCTTTTTTTATACGTTTTTAAGCCGGGACCACGGAAATTGGGACAGGCGCGGAAACATCCGCCTTGTTCTATTATTTTCAGCTTGTTCAAATGATCGAGAAGGAAGGTAGATACGTATTTTTTCAGATTCAAAGGTCTTTCTTTGAATGTTGCCTTGCTGGACACCGTTTAGGCAAGAAGCAGCAATAAAAATTGCTAGTTACAGTGAATTCTCCCTAATTTTCCTTCAGCTTCTAAGCAAAACTGATCAATTTGCGAAAAGGAGATGCGATTCTATAAATTGACACCATTCTAAGAATATTACATGCTGATAGACAAACATAATAAAAGGTATAGATCATCAATTTCAATATAAAACTGTTCTTTATTTTATACGTTTTTATCCGGGACCACGGAAATTGCGAGATGCGCGGAAACTGGGATATCCGTGTTCTATTATTTTCAGCTTGTTCACAAATGATCAAGAAGAAAAATAGATACGTATTTTTTAAGATTCAAAGGACTTCCTTTAAATGTTGCCTTACTGGACACAATTTAAGCGAGAAGCAGCAATAAAAATTGCTGATTCTCCTTAATTTTCCTTCAGTTTCTAAACAAAACTGAACAATTTGCGAAAAGAAGATGCGATTCTATAAATTGACACCTCTCTAAGAATATTACACGCTGATAGACGAACATAATAAAAAGTATAGATCATCAATTTCAATATAAAACTGTTCTTTATTTTATACGTTTTTCATCCGGGGCCACGGAAATTGCGAGATGTGCTGAAACTGGGATATCCGTGTTCTATTATTTTCAGTTTGTTCAAATGATTAAGAAGGAAGGTAAATACGTATTTTTTAAGATTCAAAGGTCTTTCTTAAAATGTTGCCTTGCTGGACACCATTTAGGCAAGAAGCAGCAATAAAAATTGCTGATTACAGTGAATTCTCCTTAATTTTCCTTCATCTTGTAAGCAAAACTGAACAATTTGCGAAAAGGAGATGCGATTCTATAAATTGTAACCTCTTTCAGAATATTAACATGCTGATAGACAAACATAATAAAAAGTATAGATCATCAATTTCAATATAAAACTGTTCTTTATTTTGTACTGGGAAACTGAGACATCCAGCATTTTTCAATTCGTCAAACGTTTCTACTGTTTTTATCCCTTTGGACTCGAGTGGTGACTCTGAGGCACCACTAGAGAATTGTTACATCACGTTCCAAGATAATTTTCATATTATCAAAGTTTAGATATAAAAAATTGTTAAAAGTGTAATTGTTGTACGAGTCACCACAAGACACAATTTCATATGCGTAAAATGCACTTAGCCATATAAAATGGAAATACTGTAAGTCAGAAAAATTGTTTTAGGTTTACGATTAAAATAACTCCGAGTGCACTCGATTTTGTCAGAAACGCGCGTACGCGGAACGAATGTAGCAAGCCCCGAAACTAGAATCAGGTCTTCCCGACGGACATTGAGGAAACAATTAGAAGATTCCAGGGGCGTTTAGCGCTTTACCGATTCAGCACGCTGAATATTCGCCGCGCTGATTGGCCGAATAAGTCTCGCACGCGGCGGCCGGCCCGCGTTTGAATAAATAATTGGCCCTCGCCGATGTTTGGACACCTACTGGATTTATTTCGCTTCCTTCTGATTCCGCGAACGTCGCACGGATACATATTCATGCGTCTAACGAGACAACAAATAAGGCGAGTGGCAAGGAAAGGAAGAATTAACGCTATCGCGGAGGCAATCAATACGTGCACATATTTAGACTGTAATTGGGAACACGGATTCCGCAGCGTTTTCGGAAATCAATTCTCAAGGTTCTACGACGGATTGGAATTCATTCTCTGCGCATACGATTTGTTCGAAGCAACGCAAACATTTTAGGAAATTTCGCGACGTTGGTTCTATTATGGTGGTTCGCTTTGTCGAATTACCTTAATTATTAATTGCGAGCTTTTAATTCGCGCAGAGGGCTCAGATTAGTCGCGATTACTGGTGGGCGGGTTGCGGTGGAATCGATACCGATATTATTGACGATATGCAATCAATTCGATGACAAAGTACTTAATAGCTGGTATCGATATGTATCGAAAATTTAGGTACTTTGCGTTGTTTGTCG